GTCCCTATCGCTACGTCATCGAAGAGTTTCTAGGGGTCTAGAGATAGAGCTTTTTCCCCCTGAGAAATGATGGTGTGAAGATCCAAGTCATGTTAGAGTCTCCAGTGCTGCCCGTAAAAAGCGTATACTTGTGATACGATTACGTTTTGAGGGGTTAACGGTGTTCGAAAGAAAAGCTCATTGAAAGATTAATCTCGGTATGAAAATATCTTAATGTGAGTTGCTTAGCGCCAAATTTCCAAACACTGTAAGTACAATACCTTAGTGTTCAGAAGTGTGCCACTGCACTAGTACATTGATGGTTTTATAGTTCATTCGTTGATGTGAGAAGCATTTAGTTGAAAAGGTGACCTGTACCTCTGAATGATGGGAGGAGTGATGGGTGAATGTTGATGATTTTGCCTCGCCACTCCTCGACGAATTTTGACGAAAGCACCCTCATATAGCCAGCCAAGCAAATTAGTTGAACGCCTCTTGCATGAAGTGCCTAGAATAAAAACATGAAGTTGTAGGAGTTTTGAAGCATTCTTCATCGCTTATTTTTTTCAGTTGCTAGCTCTAGCGTTCACTTTTCATCAAATTATCTCTTTTCTTGCAGACAATCCTGAAAGGAGAAATGACCTACATCCAGAAGGATGCTGTTAGAAGGATGATTTGAAGGGTTCGTAGAATTTAATTTCAGATCGGACTGTGGTAAGGCGCTTCTGGTGAGAAAACGAACTTATGAGCATGAAGTGAATCTAATAAACAGGTAAGCCACCAGCACCCTCCCTCTGGCTTGGTCAAATGGTATCACATCGCCTTGGAGAATAAGGCGTTCGATTGGGCATCTTCTGGCTTTAGAATCCATTGCATAATTCAAACTGCTCCCATCGCATTCCATAGATCTACATACACCTCTAATTGTAAGGGGAAGGTGAATGAGCGGCGAACGTAGCAAAAAAGGATTGATCAACAAAAAAGGGATTGCTTCACCCTTTTCATTCGAACTTTCGGTTGAAAGAAACAAAAAGCAGCAGCAAAAGAGTTGCATATGGGAAGGAAAATACAGGGGGAGGGGCAAGAAAGTAGTCACTTTTCTTCCACATTTGTTACGGAATTCTGCTCTTTGCTGTAGTCAAACCGAATAGCCCAAACTGAAAATTGAAGAGCACATTCCATGCTACCAGAAACCATCATAGAGGTCTTCTAAATCGCATCAGGAGATTTTCAACCGAGAATTCAGTGTACGATTCAAGCTTAACGAGGTCCTCGACGGATCGTGGACCATCGCGACGTTATCGGAAAGTAAAATGGGTAATCAAAACAGATCTTAGTTATTACGGTACTGCCTCTAGGAAACTATCGGTCTATCAGTCCAAGAAAACATGTCGCAGAGCTTCAGGCTGATAAGCCTCTTTGAGCTTGGAGGCGATGCAAATGACCTCATATTTTGGGAACGGTCTAGGATAGTGAAACGGAGGCATACTTCGGTTTTAAGAAGACATTAGAGACGTGTTTCTGGAAAATTCTATCCGAACAGCGACATCCTGTGTCGACCAAAGTGATAATGTGCGCCATGGGCAAGTGATCTTTTCTTTAGCCACCCTCCCCTTAGCAGTTTGAATCGATTTGGAACATATCACTGGATTGGAAAAAAGGTTGAATGGAAAGTAGTTTGACTTCCATTTCGCATGTGCCCTTCATGTTGGATTCATAGATGATTTACGTAGTAATTAATTTACTGCATACCTCACTGATTTTTGAATCTCCAATTTCTCTTATCTGAGTGTGAGGTATGTGCAGGGCTTCAATTCCCATCGCTCTTGCTATATCCATTCCTTTCGCACCAAGTTTATTCGAAATCACAACTACGACCTAAAACTGCGATTCACTCTACAGATAACAAAAGACTCAATTAATATAAGAACTACTTTTGCGGAATAATTTTGGTTAGACTCTCACAGAAGTGCAGATTTGCAATGAAGGATTCAGAAGAGATTAGCACTAGTGCAGGGTCGTCAAATCTTTCCACAGAAAGGTATTCCCACCTCACAGTTACTGCATGGCCTTCTTGAGCTTTCAACGAGTTTCACCATATTACTTCCATTGCCTGAGATCAGTATACCAACCTGGAAATCATGACCTTCAGCTTGAAGCTACTACTTTCCCTAAGTTTTATCACTACATCACTGAAATTGCATTTATCTGAACCGCAGCTGGTTGTCAGCGGTCATTAACGTTGGAGCCGACTAATAAAGATGCTAGAAAAGCTTGCCTGCACCTTCATGATCATCTACTTACTTCTTTACCTACCTTTACTTTCGGTCTTGACGGCTGAGCATACTTTGATGTGAATGCCGTTTTCAGATTAGTGAAGGTTATAGGGGAACCTGAAACAAATCATCACTGAAGAAATTGAAATCGAAAATTCCTGAAAACGGGAGGACACGGTGTCAACGCAGGTGAAGCATCCGGCTAGGTGTGCCTTCGACGGGGTCATATTTGGCTCTATAGAAGAGTGAACAGAGATTAAATTTTTCAAAGGGTTTCAGTTCAGAAACTTTGGCAGACACAGGAAGTGCACCGTTCCCCTGGACCAACGGCACGGAGGAGTACACCAGGAGTCTTGGATGACGCCATATTTTTAGTTCAGATACTATCTGTACAAAACCAGAAAGATGAATGAAACATTCCTCTCTTCATAATTTCTAATTTGTCTTGGTGATCTGGAAATGCTTCTTCTATGGATAGGATTGGTTCTCTTGGAAACCAGAAGCGTTGGAATTATGGGTATGTGGAGGTAAACCCAATGACAATTACGTAAAAGCTGTTGAGGGGACAGTGAAAGCCGAATTCGAAATATCGTCGT